AGGGGCACCATACAGGTTTTTTTTACTCTGTGCTTTGTGCTGGGCAAACTTACATGCAAAAACCACTTGGAGCACCATAGACCGTAGACCATTGAGAGCAAATGAAATAATGCCCAGAGGTTTCTTGTCGGTTATAAGGTTTGAGCAAGCCACAAAATTTTCATTGCATCTCTTCATTATTGCTAAAACACTGCTGAAGACAATCTGTGGTGCTGCTGGTGCTCCCCTGTGCTTCTGTGGTACCACCATATACACATCTGTGCTCATCCTTGCCACCCAGCATCAGAATTAAATCTTTGCATCACATCTAAAAATAAACCACACATACCAATATAGCTCCTATGCTCTGGCCCCTATTGTGGACTATCATGTACACAATATGAATATTCTAAGGATCCAGCAAAAATACATTATCATTACAATTCTGTGCCTTAAGTAGTTGTAAATGTTGTAAAAGTCTGTAGAGACATTGTTTTGGCTGTTTTGCAACTATATGCAATTAATTTATGCTGTCAAATGTACATTAATTCTCATGCATGATTAATTGCTTGAAATTAAACAGAATGGTGTCACTATGCCATGGTTCACAGTGTAGATGGACTATTTATAATGATGGTTTTGTGTCTTGAATAGTTGTATGTTATTTCCCATTGTCATGTGAAATTTCTGCCATAAAGGCTGAATTACACTGATCACTCATGGACCTCCTGTATAAATCTGTAAAACCCCTCTATTTTCCAAACTGTTTTGCTCTTAAAGGCACTGGGGACATTCTTAATATCCATAGCATCATGAATTGTCAAGATCCAAAACATAAGTTTACAGAGCAAAATCTGACTGCTTCTGCCAGAAGACTTGATTAATTGGCTGATTGACTGAATTTATCTGATGATTAAGATACATAAGATACTGTCCAGCAACCATTACACACATTAAATCACAAAGAATTAAAACACAATAAAGCCCTAAAGCGTTTTCCAAAGTGGCCAACATAAAATGTATAGAAAATGTGTTGTCATGTGTTCATCCTCACCTCAAACCCCCTCAAATGCTGTGGATTTGTGAAAAAGTTTTGTAAAGAGAAAAGGGGCAAAATACCTCACAACTGCTGTGCATCTAGAAAGCATTATGTCACTGTCGCACAAAATCTTGTATCTCCATTTTTATCGTTTGTAGCATAATTTGGAGACTCTTGTTACACTGTGCATTATTTATTATTACATCCCTTTTTAGCTAGCTAGCTAACATATAAATCAGTGTGACACACCATCTGTGTGAAGTATGCAAAGAAAAAGTTGCTTTTTATTGTCCCTGTTTCAGCAGGACAAGAGTGTGGACAAGCAAATAAAACAGAGAGCAAAGAGCAGGGGTCATTTTGTCCTTTCAATAAAAATCAGTTTCTTGTAAAATGTCGCTTAATGTTCAGCTTCTTACGAGGCTGGAGTCAGTTTCTTATTCACTGGCTTCTTGTTCAAATTTTCCCAAATTTTCCACCTTAAATGAATGTACTGCTGCACTATTTAAGGTGGAACAGGAAAATTCAAATGAGAAGCTGGTGAATGAGAAACTGATAGCTTCATGACTTTTTAGTGCAAATAAGTCCATTCGTCTCCAAATTATCGATGTTCATCTTATATCGTTCTCTTTGCCTTTTCGTTAGCTGCTAGTTAGGCGAGACTGTTTTCTGTGTTGCTGTGGTGACCAGCAGTCTGCACCTCAATCTTCAGCATTAAAGGGTGATTTAGCAGTTCTACATTAACTCTGGCATTTAAGACCATTTATTGTGAAAACTGTGTTAGAACTGTGTGTTATAATGAGCAGCAGAGCTTTATCTTACAGCAAAGGAGGAGGATTATGTTATTTTATCTAAAAATCCGTGTGTTGCCGACCCCTGGCTTAGCTTAAGCAGAAAAAACATTTTGGTAATAGTTTATTACTTATAGTACTGCGCAGAGTCAGGGACACTGATAAGAATTTTGAGGCTAAAGTATTGTGGAAGTTTACCAAAGGACCCTCAATGTCATGTCTGTACAGATCTTGCTGAAATGTTTAAATTGTGTTTTATTTCAACAGTTGACAATGCTTTGTACTAAATTGTTTGGTTTGTATTCAGTTGTTTTTGTTGATTTTTGTTAGGAAAAACCTGGAATGATTGACTTTGCCTTTACTTAGTCTAAATTTTTGTTGGATATCACGCCTTTGGTTGTGTAAGTTTGATTGTTGGTTACACTTCAACTTACTTTTTGGTGATCTTTTTGTATATTTGCAGCTTTTGAATTGTATGTTTCTTTTTGGCACATGATTAAATGCAGTGTCTTGTTCACACTATCAGTTGGGCTTGTTTGGTGTGTCAGGTGGAGATACACAAACATTCTGACAATCGCGCTCTTAAAGTAGATAAAAAGTAGTGCACTACTTTTTCTGGAAAAGTAGCTAAATTGTAGCTAGCTACAAATTTTGGGAAATTAGCTACACAGTAGCTAGCTACTACTTTTTCAGTAGCTATCCCAACCCTGGTTATAGTTGTCATTACAATAATGGTCCCCTCCTTTAGAAAGGTACTATATACTCCATTAGTTTCTACATTACCTAGAAATACTATAAAACATGCACAGTTAGCTTATTCTTCAAAAGCAACGCCTGCTGACTCAGTTTTCTCAACAATACTGTAAATCTTAGCAGATGCTCAGTAGAACAGAAGCAATGATAGGATTTCTGCTGCTATCAATTATGGTCAAGTATAATCACACGAGGTGATGTCAGATTTGCTGCAATTATTTATTCATTTCTTTTGGACTTACAGTCAGACAAGAAAGACTCATGCATTTGTAGGAATTTTATGCAGTGATCCACATAGGTCTGTGCATACATCTTTCATATATTTATACCTAGTGGTTACTTCACAACATGAATCGTCACTCAGTCAACCAAAGCTTGTCAGCCCGTACCCTGAGAATGAGCCTTATGGTTATCATATACACATTTCATGTTGCTAATCTTACCTATGCTACATAGTTTGTAAACCTTTCCACAATCACAAAATTTCTGTGGAATATCTGTGACAGGTTCCTCTATAAACAGTTCGTAAGGGGGTATTAGCACTTCAGCCTCATGTGGATGCGCTGATATGGCAGATATATCGGCACCGTAGCATGTGTAGATGATAAAACAAGTTGTTTTTCCAAATTTTAACAGTGCAGGTCTGTGTGAAGAAGAAGCAAATCTACCAAATCTCACAAAGCCGCCTTTTATGTAAACTGTGTCTTCGGTGCGCCGGTGTGTGGTTTGGCATGTTTCTAGAGGATTAATAGTTTGTATGCCATCTGTTATCAGACCAAACGTGTCAAGGTACTATTTTTTACCCTGACCTATTTTTTTATTAAGGTGATCATGAAACTTCTCTCCAGTGTATGCTCGAAGGGCTATCCTTCTCAAGTCATCCCTTTTTAAATCAGAATCCTTTTTGTCTGCTAAACTAAGACCTTCTTTGGCATCATCCCAAGCTGTCTTGAACACACTTTTGGATTCTAGCTCCTTTTTCAGTAAATGCTTTGTAACCTCCTTATACATATTGTCTTGGCATTTCTCAAATTCATCATCAATAGAATCTAGAAATTCATCCATATTGATTTGAAACAAAATAAAACCCATTATAAATAAATACATTGACACTGATACCTGTTACTCATCAGTTAGATGAAAAAACTTATTATTTCAGATTTATCACTATTTCCCCATCATCAACATGTCATATACAACTCAGAAGACATGTGTAGGTTCAAGGGTGGTTTTGGATAGAAATGTCTATATTTGTGTTGTAGTTGATTGATCAAGATCAAGAGTAATATGATCTATATTAACAACTAACATTCACAACAAGTTACAGTCCAGTTCAGTCAGTGATTATATTAACTAAGATCCAGCATCCCAGGCCAGGAAACTGCTCATGTTCTTACAGCTCACTGTAAAAGTTTTATTTCTTTAGTTAATTTTACAATAATGCTAGCTTTCAAATACATGTTGAGGTGAAGCTCATGTTAGCGAGAAGACAGGGTGTCTGACAGGATGTGTAGCAAAGAAGCTGCTGGTGTTTTCAGAACAATGGACAGACCTACCCAGAGTCCAGTGTGTTTGATTACTTCAGAAAATGATCAACCAGCTTCTAAGAACTTTGGAGGTGTGTCTGCAGATTTCTTTGAGAAACCGAAAGTGAGTCTCCTGAAGAGAATAGAAGCTGGACACACACTGAACACTGACATGGCTAATATATTTAGTTATAAAGTTCTGTGTAATTTTCTGATAAATACGTTTTCTTCATTCCAAAATTCTAACAAAATTGAGCAAAATGAAACCACCAATTTTCTTTTGAATGTTTAGTAACTTCAGCCCCATTAATATATATATATATATATATAATATATATATATATATATATATATATATATATATACAGCCCAAAATGACTTGGAAAAAAGTCTGGTTCCACTGGCTTACAGTAAAAGTAAGTCAACGTAAGTCAAAGTCTTTTCCTGTAGAGTTAGCATTTTGGAGATACAAGGTTTTCTTCCAACAACAGCGATATATAACCAATAAAACATAAAACATGACAGGGAGTGTGTTCTAACATCACAGTGAATCTTCAAATACACCTCTAATTCTGAGATGAAATGACTCAGAGAAGACCACATATATAGGCTGCCATGAATAGTTTAACCATTAAATGTAATGGATTTCTGCTGAAAAAACCCACAGAAACCGTTTCTAGTGGTTCCTATTGGTTTAATAATAGGTTTTGGCTTTTTGAATGGGGTGATATCACAATGTAAAGGATCCTAAAAGTTAAACAGGTGACGAATAGCTGATTCCATATACTTTTAATGGTTTCCTAATGGGATCTAGGTGTTCTACAGGAAACTAGTTGTAACCGTTAACGGTAACCATTAAGCCAATTCAAATTAGAAAGCCAAACCGTTAGCAAGGATCATTAAAATATAAACACCGTCGACTGCGCAGGTGGAGCTCGATAGAGTGCAGAGTTACACTGAAAGCGAAAGTACATTTTCAGTGACGTCTCAGTAAACACAGAGAGAGTATCCTGAAGAAGCAGGACGCAGAAGAGCTAAGAGTAAGTCTGATCATCCTGGTTCAGCAGAACAACGACTTTCCTCCGGCTAGAAAAGGAGACAAGGTAGAAAATGTACTATCATTACTGGAGTCAACAGCAAAGCGCCTTTACTTTACTTAGCTTCGACGTCACTGCGCAGCTCTGAGCGGCAGCGACAGGTACAGTTTCAGCTGCTCAAATTTCTCAGCGAGGAAAAAAATATCATGGATTTTTATCGCGATAAACTAGAAGTTTAATTTAAGTCGCGTTTGCGATGTATTTATAGTGTTATGATTCATATTTATCCAGTAGAGCAGTCTGCTGCCCCCTTGTTATCTTAATCGAGCAGAGTTGGTTTAATATCTGTCATTTCTCCGGTCTGTTTCTCAATAACTGAACGTCGAAATGATCAGTGGAATAAATGTTCTCTCAGAAGCGTCGTGTGTGTTTACTTTTGTAAACAGGATCTCGGCGAACTTCCGTCTTTTAGAAAAGCCTACCAAAAAAATAAAAAATCGCCAGCTAAGGGACCGTCTCAAAAGAGCCCGAGCACAGTAAAAATGTGGACTTCTGCCGCATGCTGAGTACACATCGGTGTACATATCAAAGTTATTCCCATACCACATAAATATTAGTTGTTTTAAATGCTTCCATATTAACACATTGGTGTTATACATTTTAATGAATATTTAACATAACCCAACTGTTATTGTGTTACATCTACTAAATATAAACTCCTAAAATACACATAGCAAAGATAGAGCAGACATCTAAGCCTGGTACAACTTCCAGTTTCCAAAAATGTCCATTTGTCTATAGTTTAATGGCTGTTTTTGCGTAGTCCAGTCATCATTATGATACATATAGCGATATTACCTGTATTAAAGAAAGTGGCCGTTCACAATACACAATTGTAACATCCTCCTGTGCCTTATCTGTGTTTTTCTCTGTTTCTGCCTTTGTTTCCTTGTTTTCCTGTGCCATGCGCCTTTGTTTATGTCTGCCCTGTGCCTTTGTTTTCTAGTCCATATGCTTGTGTTGTTGTATAAGCTCCTTCCCTGTCCTGCCCTCTTCAGCCCACACCTGTTTCTTGTTTCTGGCTCCACCTTTGTTAAGTGTGCTCAGCTGTTTCTCATCTTGAGTGTTGTATAAATACCCCTCTGTTTCTCTTGTTTCTTGGCTAGCATTGCTCTTGTACACTTGTGCTCTTTGGGCTCAGGTCGTGGTCTCAATTCGTGCTCTCACGCTCGTTGTCAGTTCTGTGTTTGAGTTCATGTTCATAGTGTTTGGTTTTCACTGCTTGAGTTTTCTTTGTAGTTAATGTTTACTAGTTTTCTTACTCAGTTTAGTTGTGTTTTCTATTTTATTCATGGATCAGAATGCTATTTATGTTTCTGCCTGTTTTTTTGGAGGTTCAGAATAGGGACTATAACAAAGGACACCCGCACCTGTACCCCATCTCCTGTTATGCTTCAGCAGCCCCAACTTTATAACAATATGTATCATAATATTTTGACACAAAGTGCACTAGCAATATCACATTTAAAATTGCTATTGCTATTATTCAATATTTCACATACTGCACTGCAGTAAATCCAATTAAACAGGACTAATTATGATCTCTTTGTAATGAAACATGCAGTTGGTCGGTTCTTTAAGCATGATATTTGTAATGTGCTCAGAAAAGCATATTGTGTATCACAATAGCAAAATTGATCATGATAATGCTAAAATATTGTCATTGTTGCTAATTAAAAAGGTAATTTAACTTCAACTGTGATAAATGTGGTGCAACTGCAACTTGTATTTGACTAATGTAACTTGCCTTGCTAGCATGTTGGTTCCACTGAAATTAAATTAGACACTAATGCTGCACCCACTTGGCTTGTTGGGGATTTTTTTCTTGGAGACATGCATTCAAAGTTTTTTTTATACCAAAACAAATTGCTCAACTAACTCGTTAAGCTCTAAAGGGCTACTGTGTCATCCTGTTGATTCTTATTGAATCCTAATGATGCCAGACTGATTTGTGTAAAGCTGCATTATGTAAGATATGGAAAAGGATGTGAAGTCTGAAGTAATAAAAATCAGAGTTGGGAGCTTTTTCTGACCACATCATACATCTTTATGTATTAACGCACAGGCTCAGAAAGGTCTGGTGCGATGTTTATGTTTCAGATGATCTCAAAATCAACATTATACTGATGAAGATATGATGACAATAGTAGATAATTCACTCACATCCTCAGAAGATGCGTCCTTCACCAAGTTCTCTTTAAATTCTCTTTCAATGTGCTTGCAACAACAAATGTCACAAAATGTACAAAATGTTGTGTGCATTACACATTTCCACCAGAGAGGTCACCAAATCCTCACATTTTAAATTATGAATATCTTTATTGTGTGTCACATAAATACATTTCAGATATTGACACAATGATACATGTCAATATTTGAAATGTATTTGTGTGATACATTTTGAGCTTAAGCCAGCAGAAGAGCTTGAAGTACTGGCTTGAGATGTGGTTACACTAGAGAAGTGCATTTCTAAATGAGTGAATAATAATATACACTGATAGGATTCTCATCCAAACTCATATCTGCAGGCACACTAACTTTAAAATCACTTGTTCTACCTGAAACGTCTGTGACTGTTTAACAGACAGTTTGTAGGACCTGACCAAAGCGCTACATCCAAATTAATGACCATGTGTGTGTGATTGTAGGTTGGGAGTACAAGGACAGATCAGAAGATCTTCAAAATGAGTACATCTGATGAGGATTATCAGCTTTTCAAAGATAAAAGGTGAAAAAATTATATGTAACATCATATGAAATGTTTGACAATTACTTGTATCATTATTTAGATAAATGCACTGTAATCTATGACAGCAGAAACCAAAAATTAATGTACTGTTGTAGATATAAATGTGTGTGTGTGTGTGTGTGTGTGTGTGATGTGAGTGTTTTAAGCTGGATGAATATTCACATAAATAAAAACTGAAGGCAAAATTTAATGTTGTAATTAGGATGTGGTTTCTGTTTAGTCCGGTTAAAAAAGGAGATTAGATTCACCTGAACGCAGCTGTGTGTCCATAAAGACTGACCAGTCAAAGGATTTTCCAATGGAGTCCAGGGAAGCAGAATCTTCAAAGTCATGGTGAGGAAAGACTCAGGGGGAATTGTTTTATTAGTATGTGTTAATACAGTCATTGTATATTTGGAAAAAGATGCATTATATTATAAAAATACAAAATTAGGCAAATATTTCATCTCTAAGACTAGTTGAAATAAAGCAAATTTCAATAAGTTTGAGGGTTTTTATTTGCTATTGCAAATATATTGATTGGAACTGAAATATTTTATTTATTTATATATATATATATATATATATATATATATATAAATGTAAATGTATCTAAATGTAAAAGTAAATAGTACTGCTCTGAAATGCAAACATGTTCTGTTGTATTTAGCCGGCTTCAAAAAGAGAGATCAGATTCACCTGAACCCAGCTGTGTGTCCATGAAGAGTGACCAGTCAAAGGATTTTCGAATTATGTTCAGGGAGGGTGACTCTTTCCCTGAAGCAAGGTAAGAAAGGAGCCTATTACACTAAACAGAGCAGCAGTGTTAATTATCATGTACAGGTGTATTTATACATGTAACCTCTCAAAATCCCTGACTAATTAATTTGGTTTCTTTCTCTTTTTTTAAAGTGTTGAGCAGAGTCAAGCAACACATTCACATGAATTTCACTCAGACGTCAAGGTATGCACATCATGTCATCAAAAGTTTAGGGACATGTAGCATTTGCAAAATGTCTTTAATAAATTAACAATTTGCAAGTAAAGTTTTTTTTTTTTTTGCAAAATTAATGGAACATCTGATAAAATTTGTTTCTTGGGAGTTAAGCTAAAGGCTAAATAAAGATAATTTAATGAACATATGTACCCAATCAATGATAAAGTTCACTTATTCTTCATTCATCCACCAGAGAGAATGCATGGCATACATTAAGCTTTTAATGGTCAACAAATCATTAAACAAGTGTTGAAGTTTTGTGTGTGAATTTACAGACAACCTTTTACAGAAAGAAGAGTCAGTATTGTTCATATTTTAGCCTTGGCCCATTTCTTTGCCCATTTTATATTGTATATTTCAGAGGCCCATTTTATATTTCAGGGGCAGGAGCACCAAGTTGTCTTCTCATCAGAACGGACCTCTGTGTATCAGCAAAGGTTTAAGTCCAAAATGCAGGAGAAATTTCAGATAATTAATGAAGGAATCTCAAAGCAAGAAGCCTCAACCCTTCTGAATATGGTCTACACAGAGCTCTACATCACAGAAGGTGAAAGTGGAGAAATGAATGATGAACACGAGGTGAGACAGATTGAAGCAACGTCAATACGGGCAGCAACAGAGGATACACCAATCAAATGCAATGACATCTTTAAACCCCAACCTGGACATAACAACCCCCTCAGAACTGTGCTGACCAAAGGCATTGCTGGAATTGGAAAAACTGTGTCAGTGCAGAAGTTCATTCTGGACTGGGCTGAAGGGAAAGCAAATCAGGATGTGCACTTCATATTTCCATTTCCTTTCAGGGGGTTAAATTTGATGAAGGGTAAAAATCTTAGTTTGATAGACCTTCTTTGTCAATTTTTCTCTGACATAAAGGAATTAAAACCCGAGGATTATCATCAGTACAAAGTCATGTTCATCTTTGATGGTTTGGATGAGTGTCGACTTCCTCTAGACTTCCAGAACAATGAGAGCATTTGTGATGTAACAGAGACAGCTTCAGTGGATGCTCTTCTGACAAGCCTAATCAAGGGAAGACTGCTTCCCTCTGCTCTTATCTGGATCACTTCTCGACCAGCAGCAGCCAATCAGATCCCTCCTGAGTGTGTTGATCAGGTAACAGAGGTCCGAGGGTTCAGTGATCCTCAGAAGGAAGAGTATTTTAGAAAGAGAATCAGTGTTCAAAACCTTGTTGATAAAATCATCACACATATAAAGTCCTCAAGAAGTCTCTACATCATGTGCCACATGCCAGTTTTCTGCTGGATTTCAGCCATTGTTCTGGAGAGGATGTTGGGTGAAGCAGAGAGCGGGGCAATCCCAAAAACTCTGACTCAAATGTTTACAAACTTTCTGATCTATCAGACCAAACAAAGGAGGCAGAAGTTTCTTCAAAGAAGTGACTCTTATCCTGACCAGATCAACGAGTGTATTCGTGCACTGGGAAAGCTGGCTTTTCAACAGCTTGATAAAGGCAACCTGATCTTCTATGAGGAAGACCTAAGGGAGTGTGGCATTGATGTCAAAGAAGCTTCTGTGTACTCAGGTATTTGCACCCAAATCTTCATAGAAGAGAATGCACTGCACCTAAAGAAGGTATACAGCTTTGTTCACCTGAGTGTTCAGGAATATCTTGCAGCTCTGTATGCATTTCTCTCTTTCATCAACAAAAATGTCCCAGGACAGCAAACTCTTGGCTTCTTATGCTTCTCTGAGAAGACAACAATGTCTGACTTTCTCAAGAGTGCAGTGGATAAGGCCTTACAGAGTGAGAATGGACACCTGGACCTTTTCCTCCGCTTTCTTCTTGGTCTCTCAGTAAAATCCAATCAAACTGCCTTACAAAGCCTGCTGACACAAAAAGAAAGCCACAGCAATGAGGAAATTATAACATCCATAAAGGAGAAGATCAAAGATGACCCAGTTCCAGAGAAGTCCATTAATCTCTTTCACTGTCTGAATGAATTGAATGACCATACTTTGCTGCAGGAAGTTCAGGCATACTTGAGCAGAAGAAAAAGGCATCGCCTCCATGGCGTCAGCCTTTCTCCTGCACAGTGGTCTGCTCTGGTGTTTGTGATTCTGGATTCAGCTGAAGAACTGGAGAAGTTTGACCTGTGGTGTTATGAACCAACAGAAGCATGTTTGTTGAAGCTGTTACCAGTAGTCAAAGCATCCAGAATAGCTTCGTAAGTGTTTTCATTCCATATTACATCTAGGGTTGGTAAAAATATGATGTTTTGTCTAGTATATTTAGTAGGCTTACTAAATATGCTGACTAGACAGTTGGTTTGTCATATTCTTCAAGACTTGCAGAGATCTGAAATTTTTTGGCCACAATGTACGATACAAGTTTTTAGAATACAAATGACCCAGAGTCGCATATAATTGTTCAACTAAGTTCTTTGACCTTAGGTCCAATTCCAGGTTTCTTTTTTGTGTTAGGTACATGCTAAATGCTTTATTTCCAGATGCTTTCAAGATATGTGTGGTCAGATCTTTACTGAAGAAAACCAATGTTCTTCAGTTTTATGTTTCTAAATGCCAAAGTAAAATACAACAACATTTATTTGTATAGCGCTTTTTACAACTAGTGTTGTCTCAAAGCAGCATTACAGAAAAACAGTTTATTGAAGGGTTATCAAAAGAATAAAAAAGAAAATAAAGGAGCCCATGTAAAGACATAAGGAACCAAATCCAGGTCCAAGCTTTCCATGAGCAAGCCAGAGTCAACAGTGGCAAGGAAAAACTCCCTAGGAGTAAGAGGAAGAAACCTCGAGAGGAACCCAGGCTCAAGGGAGGAACCCATCCTCCTCTGGTGAAATATTAGAAAACATAACATTTACACAAACAACTGATTTTCTAAATGAAAGTTTTTAAACATTTTCAGATCAGATCATAGCACTGAATCAATATTGCTGAAAACATTAAATGGTTTTAGAGTCAGCGTCAATAGAAACATGTATGTCTTTCTAGATTTAAGTGTTACATTTGAGAAAATACATAATTTCATTCTTAGAAACTGCCTTGAGTATAGTCCTATCATTGGCCTCTCATTCTTACAAACTGCCTCGAATATTGGCCTCTCAGGAGTATCTTAAAGTGATTTTACACATATCCTAAAAGAGGAAAATACTGTGTTTAGTCTAAGAACCATATATGGAAAGTGTGATATTATTTGTGGTATATCTAAGGGTCCTGTACTAAGCCAATATATTACAATGAATAAGTAAATGAAAAACAAACCCTCTTTATTGAGAACAGAGCAAAGAGAACAACATATTTAAGTAAACTTTTAATGTTTAATCACCTACTTAAAACATTCAAATGTGGTATGGTAATTTTTCCCATAGGCTGTGTAAGTGTAATCTCACAGAGAGAAGCTGTGCAGCTTTGGCATCAGTTCTCAGCTCAAAGTCCTCTTGTCTTAGAGAGCTGGATATGAGCAACAATAATTTGCAGGATTCAGGAGTGAAAATGCTCTCGGTTGGACTCAGGAGTCCACACTGTAAACTGGAGATACTCAGGTGAGATCATTACTTCCATAGTATATATCCAAGATCAATAAAATTCATTCAGAAAAACTAAGTATTCTAAAATGATTTACTTCCCAGACTGGGTGAATGTAATCTAACTGAGGAATGCTGTGCAGTTCTCAACTCAGCTCTCAGTTCAAATCCCTCATATCTGAGAGAGCTGCGTCTCAGCAGGAATAATCTGCAGGATTCAGGAGTGAAGCTGCTCTCTGCTGCACTGAAGAACCCAAAGTGTAAACTGGAAAAACTGAGGTGAGCTTTTCATCTTCCATGTTGTGCTTTTTGTTCCTCTCACCCTCTCTCTTACACAAGCATTGTTTGTTTATGCCTCTCAATCTCACAAACCACCCAATGAACAATAGATAGTAGTAGACCAAAATAAAATTATTGCCATTGATTCCAATAACAAATAAAACTTTTAACATCCCAGGCTAATTATACCCTAAGATTTATTAGTTGGTGATTACACAGATATAATGCAAACTGAGTTATTTTTAAGTTATAGAGGTCTGTAACTGCCAGCAGGTCCTGCCCATTTATGTTAATTATGCAATTGCATATGTTGCCTAGATGATGTGTCTTGTTGGTGCTTGTGACTATAACTGACAGCACTATTTTGTGGCTAGAATACTATAAGCATGATGCTGAGGAAGGCTGTTATATATATTTTTTGTTTCTTTTTGTTTTTTTGTCAGCTGATAAAATTTTATACAGTCAAATGTTCTAAAATAGCTCCAATACTTTGAGTAAAACAGTCCTTAAACCAAAAAAGACAAATAAAATCAGCCCAGCAGTCTCAGTGAAGCATAATTACCATATTTGTATGAAATTAACATTCAGAATAAATTTACAATATATTTACAATATGTTTAGAATCCATAATGATCTAGTACATTAGGAAAACATGGGCATTTTTTCTCTTTTGTTATTAATTCACATTGTTGCTTGCCATCACTTGTTAGCATTTTTTCTTGTAATCTTTTAAATGACGTTTATTCATTCTTTCTGCATTGATTTATCAGTCTACTCAGGCTTTAGCAGAGCTTGGTACCACTGAGATTAACAACTGATCACAATGATTTATCAGTCTACTTAGGCTTTAGCAGAGCTCAGTAACACTGAGATTAATAACTGATCACATTGATTTATCAGTCTACTCAGGACTAGCCAAAATAACGTTTGGTAAAGAAACTGTTAATTTAGCTACATGCAGTGCACTGATATAAAAATAAAGCAACAATGGTGTTTTTTTTCCAAGATTTTTTTTTATTTAGTCAGAAAGTATTCCAGAAGTACTTTCCTAAAAATGTGAAGAGTAACTGTATTCTGAATATTGCCTTTACAAAATGTAAATTGGACTGAATATAAATACTTTACTTCTGTACTCTAAATGCATATTTCCAATACTTGTATTCCATAACATCCCAACCCTACACACTGTGAAAATTTTTGCTCCTCTCCACATTCTAACATCAGTCAATACATCCATGCATTTCAAAAGGGTGCATTTTGCACTGAAACTCAGAACAAGAAATATTCTAAATAGAATATAGTACATAAGCATAGCAAAAACATTTGTAGAGAAAAACAGCATGAATTAAAAACTCACCCGTTACCTTTTTACAGTCCTTATACTTGATTGATGAACTTAAAATTAAGCACCCAAGTGTCTGCACACCTGATGGCCATGTTTGATCAGTTGGTTCACAGGTCTGGTAAGGTGTGTGAAAGGCAGTGCCTTGAAATGGTCACATCATGTTAGATTTCTGTGTCTAATGTAGAAAAGTGTGTTTAGTGGTCTGCAAAACACTGTGTATAGTGTTTTGCTAAAAGTGTGAGGCCGCGAACGTGCCTATAGTTGTGCAGATCTGGGCTGAGGTTTTGCTCCTTCAGTGTCAGGTTTCACTAACTGTGTTATTTTTAAATTTAGTGTGTAAGCAATCGTAAAAAACTGTATTATGCAACAGTGAATATAAGAGTATATTGGTTTGTATGGTGACCGACAAGATCCTATGCACAAAGGAAATACAATATCTGTGATGGAAACTCACAGAACGAAGTTGATAAGACCACAGATACTCACATTCCAGCACATTTTGGTTATCTTAGCTGGCTAGTTAGCTATCTAACATGTCATAGCTGTACTGCAGGTGTTTTCAGTCCTGGTGTTGTTATTTGAAATTTTACAGTTACGATCTACAGTTAATTCCAAATAGGATGCAGTGATGTTATCTACTCAAGTTTTACTGGTTTACCTACTGTTACTGGTGAATATTTATTCTGCGAGTTTCAATAACTCCATCCTCGTTGAGTGTTCTCCATTACTGTTGTCAGATTTCTGTCATTTTGCTAGCACCTCTATGGCCATGTGGCTTTACTTTACTATATATATATGTGTGTGTGTGTGTGTGTGTGTGTGTGTGTGGATCACACAAGTAAATATCTGCACAGGCACAGGATATTTTTTATTTTTATATATATTTTAAGTTTTTTTTTTTTCTTTGCAGGCTGAGTTACTGCAGTATTACAGAGGAAGGCTGTGTTGCTCTGTCTTCAGCTCTGAAATCAAACCCCTCACACTTGAGATATTTAGAGATGGGAAGGAATAAACTAGGACAGTCAGGAGTAAAGCAGCTCTCTGATCTACTGGCAGACTCACATTGCAAACTGGAGATACTCAGGTGAGTAATGGTCATTCATTGGACACCAAGACCATTTCTGAACATTTCAGGACCCTGAGCAACACTTTAATCATATTAGCCTGTTTACAAGAATGTGATTTGTTTCCTTTTCTCTACAGGTTGTTTGACTGCTGTATTACAAAGGAAAGCTATGCTTGCCTGATTTCAGCTCTGAGGTTGAACCCTTCACACCTGAGAGAGCTGAATTTGGGCTATAGTAATCCAGGAGAGTCAGGAGTGAAACTGCTCTCTGAATTACTGGCAGATCCACAGTGTAAACTCGAGTTATTAAAGTGAGTTCTCTATTTTTACTAGTCATAACATTTATTACACCAGTATAACTGGTATTGTCATTTATGCTGATACTTTCAAGTGAAAATCTCTTGGAAACACATGGGTTTTCCTAAAGTGTTCAAGTTGTAATCTGAGAGAATAAAGAATTCTGCATTTTTTTCTGCAGGTTGCATGAGAGCAACATTACAGATGAAGGCTGTGCTGCTCTGGCTGCAGGTCTAAAATTAAACCCTTCCTACCTAAGAGAACTGGATCTGAGCAAGAATAAATTAGGAGAATCAGGATTGAAGCTGCTCTCTGCCTTAGTGGAGGATAAAACATTCAAACTACAGAAAATCGAATTGTTGGTTTTTTAAAGCCTTTAAATTATTTGTCAAACACAATAACAAGTTATTGCTAAATGCTCTAAAAGGTCTGCCAAAGAATCTCTGAGTGTCACAGTAATTTCTGAATGTTCAGAAAGGAGTGAAAAATCTAGATCTAGAACAACCAAAGTTTATTATTATAGTAATTGTGTTTGGGTTTACTCAAAGGAAAATGAGAAAATATTTATTAGTAAATGAATGAATTAATTGGAGTATAAGTTAAAGATGCCAAATGTAGTCGACCGTTTTATGTAAGAAGTGTGCTTCTTTTTGAACTGGAGCTGTGAGGTTAATTTTGCTAATGTTATAATCATGTATCATGAAAACGTGATCTAGATCTTGCTGTTCATTGAGTCAATGATTGAGCAGGTCGTAGGGAAGCTCCAGTTGGAATGTAGCAATAGCAGGTTAGTTCACACGTAAACTGGATTCTGGTCTGTTTATTCTCGCATAAACATGCTGCTAAATCATCAAAAATGTTTTGTTAAGCTAAATAAGAAAAGTTACAGAAAATCTTGCCATTCCGAAGATAATTAAACCTGAAGCTGCTGTCTGAGTGCATTTTATTTAGTCTGGAGCATCAAGTGATTAGCAGCAGCATCTTTATACACATGAAGCTTTATGTGAGTCCACATTTCATCCTGAATGGACCTGATTTAAGCTCAGTGACCAGCATTCTAAAACACATTTTATCACTTTAGATCATTCATAAAAATCTGGACATTCAACTTTTGTTATCATCAAAGCTTTTAAATGATGGCTGTAATAGAGAACTTTCTCTGAGACAACCGGGAGAGTTGTATGTATTTCTTATTTAGAGTGTAAATACACTGATCCATGTGCTAAATATGTATGTGTATATTTCATGATATAGTTTATTTCACATATCATTTCATTTGTACATGGTGCACATCTCTCTTTCTGTGTACGTCTTGTAGAACATAACATATCATTATATGTTAAAGCACATTATGGATTTCCAGAAAAATTTAATGTCTGGACTTTTGATTGTCATTGAGAAGAAAATGAAATTTTAAGTTGTCAGTCTTAACATTTATAGGCAAAATAGTCCCCAAAGAAAACTTATTATTTCAGATTTTCCACTATTTTCCATCATCAACATTCCATATAAACTCAGAAGACTCGTGTAGGTTCACTGGTGGTTTTGGAGAGTAAATAAAACGTTTATATTTGTGTTGTAGTCATGGCGACCCCTGGTTCCTATCACCACCACTGTAAAGAAATCTGAACCATTTCACACCAAACCACTCTGAATTATTGGATTATGCAGAAATGATGAAAAATCAGTGGGATTCTGTTTTATTCTCTCAGACAATCTGTACCAGTGAATGAGAGTCTAACCTCATTTTCGTAAGATACTTGAAGCTTTGCTCTGCTGTTTTGTTCTGGAGACTGAAATAAAAAAAAAGAAAAGATGAATATTCTTATCTTTCAACATGCAAACAAATAAATTGGACAAAGCTTAGACTGATCATTATTGCCTAAATGTATTGGGTTAATTCACAGTGGTGTGTAGTGAAATTAAGTGGGTCATAAACAGTGACAGTGTACACTGAAGTAATCATTTACTAAATATACACAGTAAATTAATAATCACTCCATATTATTCCATATACATACTGATCTGAGTCTGCAGTCAGACGCTGTCAGCAGCTCAGCTCTTCATGCTGAGTCGTTCATTAGAGAAGCTCTTGAACTGAGTCACTCAGAGTCATGTTACCCCACCAAAAACACCTGTTTCCTCCACCTGTTTACATTCTGTTAATGAAATGGACGATGGTCCAATGGAAGAACTATCCTGGGGTTTAACACCCTTTTCCACCAAGGTCCATCTATTCATCACTAGAAAGCTTGGAGGCTCACAGGAAAAAAAAGCTATATATAGATTATAAAATATATACAGGAGGATCATTTGTACCAACAATGATCACACTGCACAACACATATTCACTATGTTGGGACATAGTGACAGGACAGACTCACTGAGCACCAGCTGGACATTACATTACATCTACTTATATTACTATGTACTGCCACCTTGTCTATGCATCTATGCACATTGCATATCCATTAATATTTGTCATTTATCGGTTTCATTATTGTTTTACCACTGCATTGTCACCTGCATAATATTTATGCACCTTACTTTCTAATTTACTGCTCATTATAGTTTTTGGGGTAGTTTTATTATATTCTTATTTATTTCTTTTCTTCTATTTATTCATCTGTATGATAATGTATGGTAATTTTTTGCCATTGTTTTGCTCTCTACTACAGCATGTGTGGCTGTAATACACAGCTTTTCATCTGGGATGAATAAAGTAAACAATCAATCAATCAATCTATCTATCTATCTATCTATCTATCTACCTATCTATCTGTGTCTCTGTCCGTTTGTCTGTCTGTCTGTCTGTGAGTATTACACCAACCGTAGGGAGACTAAAATACTCAAAACTAAAGGTCAAGTTACTGTTTCAAAAACATGTTTGAAATCACTGATAAATTCTGACAAAAACCTCAAAAATATTTCATAGCGTTTGGCTCAGTAACACACAAAAGAGTTTTTTTTTTTCAGATGTTCTGGCAACTGCGCTTGCACAGATCTACACAAGGGAGGGGGGCGGGCTTCCCTCACTCACACCACAATATCATCAAACCAGAGCCAAGTATCTACATGATTCTGCATATAACCTTATCCACTTGTGGCATAACCAGCGAGCTGATTGGTTCTTTTTCTTGAAAAGTAGGACTTTCTCTGTGAACAGACACCATGTTGAGTTTTACAAGTGTTCCCATCCAGTGACCGGTCTCCTCTTCTATAACGTCCTAATGCTAGTTACAAATGTCATGGGCATTAACTACTTACAGAAGCAATTGTGGATAGTAAACAGTTGCTAAACAGTGATTGGAGGGCTGAGAAAATCCGGCGAAGCTTGGCAGATTTTGATTTGCCATAGTACACTGAAAGAAAACAAAAACAAATGAAATTTAATTACCCTAAAAATGTGGCATAATAAATATTCAGTCCCTATATTACTGGCTAAGCCTGTGAGGGCTGCATCCCTATTGCCCAGGGTCTGGATATTTATGAGTATCTCTAATATTGTCTATACTGGTGCCCTAATAACTGCCTGTAATCTAACATCTTCGAAAAGAATTAAAATAATCAAAGAATATGAACAAAACTGAAAAAGGAAAAAATGGAATGAGAAAGACTTCAGCCGCTGAGTTCTTGTGGAAAAATGAAAAGGCCTTCGCTTTATTTGAGCATCAAATGATGAGATGGTTTCTGGACAACCACAATGCAAAGACAGTCTCAAGACATCCCCTTTTATTTGCCCTCTGGGATGATGAGGTAATCACACAACCTCATTTATACAATTCCACACCATTTTAGTCCCCATTATATCCAAACTTTACACTTTTTTTGGTAACCCTTAAAACCAAACGCATATGATATCTTTTTTTAAAAACCACTCTGGTCCAGCTCATAGCAGGTTGTTCCATCCTTATAGGGCCATCTTACACAACTCTCCATATAAGTTCAGAAGCTCACCTCACACAATGCACACAGTCTATAGCTTATCCCCCTATATTACCTCTTTAGGAGAGTTCCAAACTCTCTAGTCAGCCAATATACACCAATCAGGCATATCATTATGACCACCTCCTTGTTTCTACACTCATTGTCCATTTTATCAGCTCCACTTACTATATAGGTGCACTTTGTAGTTCTACAGTTACAGACTGTAGTCCATCTGTTTCTCTGCATACTTTGTTAGCCCCTTTTTGCCCTGTTCTTCAGTGGTCAGGACCCCCATGGACCCTCACAGAGCAGGTACTATTTGGGTGGTGGATCATTCTCAGCACTGCAGTAACACTGACGTGGTGGTGGTGTGTTAGTGTGTGTTGTAGTGGTCTGAGTGGATCAGACACAGCAGTGTTGCTGGAGTTTTTAAACACCTCAGTGTCACTGCTGGACTGAGAATAGTCCACCAACCAAAAATATCCAGCCAATAGCGTCTTGTGACCACTGATGAAGGACTAGAGGATGACCAACACAAACTGTGCAGCAGCAGATGAACTATCGTCTCTGACTTTACATCTACAAGGTGGACTGACAAGGTAGGAGTGTCTAATAGAGTGGACAGTAGTGGACACAGTCTTTAAAAACTCCAGCAGCACTGCTGTGTCTTGTTTTATTCAATTTTTCCATCAATGTCCTCATAGCTAGTTACTGCCTGAAGAACTCCAGAGGGCACTTGACTCTGGCATCTTTTACAGTGTAGATGGGCTGATTAGTAGAGAAGTTGCTAGATAAAAAATATATATACAAGAACAATCACATCCTGATACTGACATCAACAGCCTTACTAACAAGCACAATCACACAAGAATGTGTCAGTCTTGCTTCAGTGTTTTTATTCATTTCTTTTGTAGCTGCACATGACAGCAAAGGAGAGCTCAGAACAAGAATTACACCATTCATTTCATGTGGTGTTTTCCACTTTTCACATAATTATATATAGTGATTACTTTGTAACATGAATCATCAGTCAGTCAACCAGTGATTTTATTATTTTTCTGCTGCTTCACAAATTTCACATATTCACACTTCATGTTGCTCTTCTTGCCTTTGCTCTTTAGTTTGTAAACAACTTTACAGTCACTTAGCTCAGGTGAAGTGTTGAGCTTTTCACTTTCAAACAGTTCGTAAGGTGGTATCAGTACTTCATCCTCATCTGGAACCTTTGATAGGTCAGATATAGGGGCACCATGACACGTGTAGATTTCAAAACACACCTCTTTTCCAAAACCTGTGAAATTAGTGCTGTTTGGATTGCCTGATGAAGAAGCAAAACTGCCAAATCGCATGAGCTTTTCTATTTTGGTAATACTAACTTTAGTGTGACGATAAGTGGTTTGGCATGTGGCATTAGGATTACGTGCTTGTATGGCATCTGTCATCAGAAAATGTAAAGAGATCAGTCTAAAGTTTCTGGTGTAGCTGCTTTTACCTACACACATTTTTTCATTAAGATCTCTGTAAATCTGCTCTGTGGTGTATGTGCAAAGGGCTCTCTCCTGCAGGCTGGGATTTGTCTTGTTTTTCCAGCTCAGACGTATTTCGGCTTCATGCCAGGCGCTCTTAAATTGCATACTGCCGTTCAGTTCCTTCTCCAGTAACCCTTTAGTAGTAACATGCTCATTCATTTCTTCTGTGCAGTTCAGAAAGTCATCATCAATAGAGGTTTAATATTCGTCCATGTAGATCTGAAAATAAAGATGAGATATTAAAATGAATAACAATATTAAATGCAAAACATCCATGCCTAGTAGCCGATTTTAAGAGATCTCAGTCTTGAAAACATGGTAAGAAAAACAGCTTGTTTAACTCTGAGGGATGAATAAAAGTAAAGTGTGATGATGTGAAATGAATCAGATTTGTTTTTGGTAAATAAAAGCACATAATCTTTGGGAAAACTGGCCTTATAGGTGGATCTCAATGAAGAAATCACATACAAGAATTGTGACTGTGAACAATTCTGACTCTAGTTTCACACCAAACCACTCTGAATGACCTTGTTTACAGCTCAACTGTTTAATTATGCAGATATATAAAAGGTGGAATTCCCTTTTGGGGAACAGCTTTCATGTTGTCTGGTGATAGTTTCAAAATACAACTGTAGTAACTGTAGCCTCAAATTAAAAATTAAAAAGTTTTAATGTCCGTTTACAACATTCTCTAGGAATCTGTCACATTTTCTCTGCTGTTTTGCGCTGGAGCCTGGAAAAAAAGTAAATCTTTGTCTGCATTAAAGCTAATTATTTAGACAACACTTATAAATTCTTCTTACTGCTGGAGATGGGAAGCCTGGACCTGCCAACCACTCCTGACCATTTAAGGGGGTTCATTCTGCATTATTTATTGCTTAATTGAATTACGTAATTGAATTGCTTATTACTTGAATCTATCCAGTGCTGTCCAAAGTGGGATTGATCTACTGTTGAGTCTTGGCTCCTCTAGACCCTGATTTTTATTAAAGTAGTCTAGGAAGTCTGGAATCTGGTGGACTATACAAATAAATTTTCATTGTATTCATGTTCCCAGGCTGCACTGCTTCCAAAGGCCCCGCAGATCTTGGTAGGGTCCAGGGTGACATGAACATGGTAGGGTCCAGGGTGAAATCCAGAACAT